CTGGCCTCCAGCCAGTCCTGGCCCGTGCTTGGTCGGCGCTGGACGCCCTCCTATTCTTCCTTCTCTCCCCCACATGTTCCCCCAAGGGCTTCCACAGCGGCTGGGGGAACACGTATGTAGTCGATAGCTTGGCCGAGCCCTGGCCGCAACGTTCGGCAACATAGGCGCTCAAGGCAGGGGGCGGCGGTGGTTCGCCGCAGGCGTCTTCGATACAAGGGGCACGGGGTTGTGTCTCTGCTCCAGTCTTGAGGTGCTCTGCACGCCATTCTGGGAGAATCGTCAGCCTGCCTTCGCGGAATCCTCGGCTCCCCCGCGGCCTTCCGGGGGCCACCTGATCTCCCTTCGGTGTCGGCAGAAAGGGTCGTAAGGCCTCGCTAAAACCAAGGATTTCCACAAGAACTCAAGGGGCCTCCTGAGGAATCCTGAGGGTATCCTCCAGGCTCCCACCCAGCGAATTCCGTATGGACGTCTAACGAATTTCGTTTTGGGGCATCCTTGGATTCCGAAGGACGTCCTACGGAATCCTGCGGATTTCCTCAGGAACCACCGGAGAACCAAAAAAAAAACATGCGTTCGAATTCCCCCCAGGTATCCAAAAAGACTTCCTCCAGAATCTGACGTATTCCCTAGAAGGATCCTCACGAATCTTCTGAATAGTTATCCAACGGATTCTGAAGGATTTCTACAGATTTCCTGAAGCATCCGAATGAAGTCAGAACGAATCGTCAGGACAGAGAAATTGCGAAGGATCCCTCAAGATTTCTAAGGGAGTATGAGGATGCCCTCTGGAATCTTAGAAAGCCTTGAAGCATTTCCCAGGATGGCCAGGATAGCCATTGGAATCCGCGGACCTCCTACAAACCCCTAGGGATCTCCAGGAGAATCCCCAAACCTCCAAACGGATTCCTCGGAAATTCCTCAGGAGTCCAGAAGACACCGTAAGAGAAGTCCGGACGAAACACCGGAATCCGGCCGGGAAGTGAACAACTGTGGGAAATCCCACAGACCCTTCAAATATCCTCCACCCACCCACCCCCACCACATCCACCACAACCACACGACACCCACCCCGTCGGGGCCCAGGATAGAGGGGACAGGCGTTGCAGGAGAAAGCGGAGGGGTGGTTGTTGTGACCCACGGGTCGGGGTCCCCCACCCTGTCTGGCAGGGAAAATCCGCCGACCCCTTGGGGTTCATCGGCGTGTGAGATGCTCCCCCCTCGGGGACCTGCTAACCCGGGTCAATCAGACCCGGGTCAGCAGGAAACCAAAAAAAACTGCAGTACAAGCACAAAAAACTGCAACGCAGGGCTTCGCAAACCTGGGTCAGCCAATATGCGCGGCCGCCTCGCGGCCACGAGCGGCTCGCTAACCCGGGTCAGCCAGAAGGGGTCTTCGCAGGATCCTGCAGGATCTGGTGCCCTGGCTGATCCCCGTTTGCATTGACCCCCGTCTCAAGGCTCACGAACCCCTCCTCAAACCCCTCCCCCGGGAGCCTGGTCTGGTCGATTGGGAGGGGGGGTCTAGTCGGGCCGGCTTGGGGGGGTAATTTGCTCCAGCACTTCGGTCGGGGGGGCATCGAGGGCCCGAAAACGGGCCAGGATAACCCCAAGAGACCTCCAAGACGGTCCAAGAGGGCCCCGAGTCGCAGAAACATCGTTCCAAGACGCCCAAGATGGCCTCCAGACGGCCCAGGATGCCTCCAAGATGCCCCAAGAAGCCCCGAAGAGGCTTCCCAAGAGGGCCCCAAGAGCCCTAAAATGGTTGATTTTCTGTTTCTTTTATCGCCTTTTCGGGCATCCGACGCTTGAAGACGCCTCATGAAGCCCCCAACACCGCCCCAAGACGGCTCAAGAGGCCCCCAAGCGGGCCCCTAGACAGCCCTAAATGGCCCCAAGCGGGAGGCCCCAAGAGCTCCCCTGGGGGCCCCAAGAGGCCCCCCAGACGCACCCACGAGGCCCAAAAGAGGCCCAAAAGAGGCCTCAACCCAGTCCCCCAGAGGCCTCCAAACTGTCTCCGGCAGGCCTCCGAGAGGCTTCTCACGAGATCCCATCGAACATCCAAGAGGCCTCTGAACCACGACCCAGGCGCAGCGGGATGGCCGAAGGCCACTCGATAGATGTATATGTATATACAAGCCTATGTCACGCAGCACCCAGCTGCCGCCACAGCGACTCTCCCCATTCCCCCTCTCCACGGAATCTCGGGGGGAAGACAGTAGGAGGAGGGAGGAGGGATTGGGAGGACGAGGGAAAACAGGAGAGGATGGGAGCTGTCCGCAACTACGACCTTTCCGCCTTCACGGCGTTGAAGCACACCCAGAAGCCTCCAAGACCGCCGTAGAACAGTTCAAGCGAGCCTCAAGACAGCCCCAGAAGCGCACTAAGAGGCCCAAGAAAGCCCAAAGGGGGCGGCAATGTGGCGTAAGCCCAAGAATCAAACAACATGCACCAACACGTATCCCTCGTTCTCCTCCCCATCTTACTCGAGTGCTTCCGTCTCCACCTCCCCTAATCCTACTCCCCACCACCACGTCAAACACCACGACCATCACAATCACCACCATCATAGACAACCCATCCTCGCCTCCAACACCGCCACCACCACCATCTGATCCACCACCAAAGCCACCTCCCGTTCCTCATCCTCCCCCCTCCCCCCCAATCCTGCGTAGCGTTTAGGACAGTGTGGCAATGCATGACGCTGTTTTGGATGCTTCCCCTGTCCTGTGCATGACGAGCCCGTGGGTGGACCTAGGGCGTGGGCGCGTGACTGCTGCACGTTAAGGCTACGGCTGTGGCTGGACCAGCGAAATGTGCGTGTTTCTCGTGACCAAATACCTGTTGCTGAACATGCGTGGTTAATGATTCTGACCATGCTAACGGTAATGATTGTGCGTATGAGATGCTTGGAGCTGGCCACAAATTTCTGGCAATGCCCATGCGCAATATCGTCCGTGGGCGTATGTACGTGCGTACGCTTGTGCACATGCGCTTGCGTATGATTGTGTATGTGTACGGCTATGGCTAACACTGCTTGTGCCGTTGTGTATCTGGATCTGTCTGTACGCACTCAAGCTCAACTATTCAGTCGGCAAGGGGCCACTTTCGGTGGCAAACCATGGGAGCCTCCCATACCATCTTGTCGGCTCTTGCGAATCGACGCTAGTCGACGCTAAGTCGACGCTAACCGACGCTAAATCGACGCTGATCGACGCTAACCGACGCTAA